TGACAGTTCAGTCCTCTAGAGGAGGGTGCAGCTCCCATCCAGCTGTCCCACTTGAAGACCACTGTGGACACATACATGGAGGTCATTTGTCCCTTCTAAAGAGCAATAATAAAATGTCACTGATGCATGCCTGGATGGCATTTGCTAGTGGCCGATTCTACAACCATATTTCACTCAGATGGTGTCTAGCAGGGTTTTGCTCTATGCATTTTGTCACAAATAAGACCAACCACTGCCTCTGTTCTAAGTCAAAATGTGCTTATTGGGACTGGGACCTTCCATGAAAGTGTAAAAAGCAATTTTTGTAATGCCAAGCTTCAAAACTGCAGTAGGTTCAGCTTTGTTGGCCTATGGTGAGGAATGGGGCCAAGCTTTCATTCACAAGTCCCCAGTAGGAACCCTTGAGGGAATAGATATTAAAAGAAAAATAAGAAAAGGAGACAAAAGGGTGGGAGGGAGAGGGGTAGGGTGTCCTCACCTTCCAGCAGACTCGTGGCCCTTTGACTGAATCTGGGAGGCCAGTGGAACACTGAGAAGCAGTAGCCATCGTCTTCAGGATGCTTATCAACATCTCCAAACTTGACTTCCTGTTATCAAACACCAAAGACTCTCAAAAGTCACTGGTCCCCACAGCCCTCTCATGGAGAAGCTGCCACAAGGTTCACTTGTTTTCCAGAGGGAGGAAGAGGTTATCAGTGGCACTGATAGCCTGACTGCTGGCTTGCTCTTCCTTCTTATTCCTCTAAGAACTCTTATTAAACAATGACACATGGAAAGTCTCCAAAAGTCTGGCAGAGAATGGAGCACCCCAGAGGATCCCTTCTCTGTTCTCTACTTGATCTGTTACGAGAAGTCAGCAAGAACATCTGCTTTCTTCTATGAGGTAGTGGCTGCCATCACGGAGCAGACAGGCGCTCTGGGGACAGGAAATGGCATACACTTGTCAGTCCCTTTGTTCCTGTTGCATTTTCTACTTTCCTTGAGAAGGATTTCTTCCCTGCCTTTATGTTCTCTTTCCCGGTTCATTGCAATACCCCACGGGGTCTAGGCAATTCCTCTTGCCCTGCTTACTTGACTTAAGGCTTACTATCGATCAATACTTTTATTCCAAAAGCAGACTGCATGCTGGTTTCCAGATCCTGTGCCTTTGCCTTGTTGTCATTTGTAACCAGAGAATATGCGGCAGGTCAGGCTGTCCTGCATTCCATCTTCCACTCAAGGGTTAACCTCCAGCACTGGCTCACAGGCTGATGGGCTGCAGGGCTGACCATATTAGGAGTGTGTGAAGAGAAGATTCAGCTCCTGGCTACACAGCAAGAGCTCTCCTGTCAGTCTCCAATGCAGGAGCTATATTTAGTAACAGCCCTTGGGAACAGCAGCTGAACCGTGGGAGTGGGCTGCTGGAATGCAGATGTGTAGTGGACCCCTCCTCCCACCCGCTGGAAGCTTCCAGCTGAAGGCTTAGGAGAGAGCCTGGCTGTTCTCCCTGCCACCTCAGCCAGACTTTCTGGATGGCATTCCTTGCAAGGCTCCTGAGGATGAATCAGGCCCTATTTTCTCTGCTGACTTTTAACATGGAGGAAAGGAATCTTGATTGTTGAATGAACCTTCACCCAATGTTGTCAGCGGGGTTTTTCTCCTCCTGGCCCTTCCTCCTTTCCCATATCAGGTTAACTAGCTACTAATATGGTGAATGGAGGCTCTTACTGACCCGACACAGGAAATAAAAGAAGTGCTCTTCCTTTTGTGCCCCAGGAAGTGCATCTTTGGTATTAGGATTTTATTTCAGATACAGAGGTCCTGGGGTCTAGAAATATGTCTTCTTTATAAAATACAGTTGTACAGTCAGAATGCAGTCACTACATATGAATTGATTTCTTGTAAGAAATTCATATACAAATTTATACAAAACTATGGCATTAGCAATTAAGGAAAAAGCTGTCTTACAGATAAAATTGTTAATACATTTGATGATATGGAAGTAAATTCCAATTTAATTTACTCATGGTAGTTATGTTTTAAGGGTAATTTGCTTATTCAAGGGCTGCTTTTGAACTATATCTCTATTTTCTCTATCTATTTATATCTATCTCCATCTCTATGTCTGTCATCTTTATCTTTCTCTCTCTCTCTTTCTCTACATACACACACACACACACACTCCCCCCATCATCTCTGTCTCTATATCTCTCTTTGTCTTTGTCTTTCTATCTATCTCTCCATCATTCTCTATCTCCCTCTCAAATTTTCCATCTCAATTGACTGAGATTCTAGTTTAAACAAATTAGCTGAGATTGTTTCTAACTTTGAGGCTTGGTTAATATTAAAACATTCAGAACAGGAGATTTTTCTTCCCACATATTTACATCTGTTACAAATACACTTAATTTCCTCAGATTATTTGGTAGTGGGTGAAGAGTTCAAATATTGCATAGGCCTGCAATTCTGGTGGGGAAGTCTATTTGAACAGAAAAGCCAGTTATTGCTTGTTTAACTACCACCTACTACAGCTTGAATGCTTCCATTTCAGAGCTGCAGCTGAGAGGAAATGATTGAGCTATTTTATATGGCTTTGGTCCAAATTATCAAATCATACTATAATCTAGTAGGTGTGATTATATGGGGATCCTCAAAGGAACAGACTTTCAAGAAATTTAACTGGGTCAGCACACTCTCTCGTAAGCAGTGATAAGACTATTTATAGTTCAGCAAAAAGTGTGCACAGCAAATTTAAGATGTACATCATGGCCAAAGATAGCAAAAAGGGTTGGTTAACTAAGACATGAAGAACTGGAGGTGTGGCAGAGAGTGGAGACAGGGGCAGGTTCAAAGGAGAGGGGAAGGAAGTGCTGCCAGAAATACTACACCTTATATATAGACAGTAAGGGAGGGAAGCCCACTCAGAAACTGGAGTCGGGAAGAGATCCTGCCAGAGGTGATGGTGCCTGAAGGGGCAGGCAGGTATAGAATGACAACAGGGCACCCCCAGTGTTTAGAGACCCAGATAGGCAGTGAAAGATGGAGGAGGTTGCTAATCAGGTGCCATTCACCTAAACCCAGAAGGGCACATTATCTTGGGGTGATAATTTTTTTAAAAATGAGATTTATTTATTTATTTACTATTAATTATTATTATTATTTATTTGAAAGGCAGAGTTACAGAGAGAGAAAAAGATCTACCTGCTGGTTCACTCCCATTCAGGTCTCCATGTATGGGCAGGGGCTCAAGCACTTGGACCATCTTCCTAGGGACATAAGCAGGGAGCGGATCCTAAGTGGAGCCACCAGGACTTCAACTGGGACTCATTTGGGATGCTTGTGTTGTAGGCAGTGGCTTAAGCTGCTATGTCACAAGAGTGGCCCCTTAGGGAGATAGTTTTCATGGGAGGAGGCAAATGCAAGACACGGGTGCATTCACTGAATAAATAAGATCCTTGAGTTCAACACAAGGATTCAGACACAGGCTATCAGTAAGAATGGAGCTTCCAGATAATTGAGGTTCATAACAGTGATCATGATAGCTAATATTGCCTATTGTGTGCCAAGCACTGAAAACAGAGTTAAGCACTTTGTACACACTCTCATCTAACATTTGTAGTAACTTTGTGAAGTTGACATTCTTAGTATTCATTGTTGAACATATGAGGAAACTGAGGCACAAAGATACTTAGCTAATAAGCTAAGAGCCAAGATTTAAATCTAGATGTCTCTGATTAAAACTCCAGAATGTAATCATGTCACAATTTTAACTCCCCAAATGCTATAGTGTTTGAAATAAGGTTGGAGTTTGGTCATAGGAAAAAGGAGAAACTCTCTTTCTAGAACTGTTATTTTTCTCATAAGGAGTTGGATCTGATGCTGTCATTGATTAAACATAAGTGCTTATCAGAGGGAAGGCATTGTGCTAAGTGCTGGGCCTGCAGAGATAAATTAGACAGAGTCTCTCCAGGAGTGTTGTGACAACTTTATAAACCACGACCTAATATGGTAAGTACTTGTGGAGTTCAATTTTAGGTGCTGATGGGAACGCCAAAGTTGAAAGGAATCAGAGAGAGCTTGAGGAGCTGACATTTGAGACACTTGAGGGAACAATCACAAACCGCAGGTGGACAGGACAATGCAAGATATCATGAATGGGGAGAAGGAATTGCTTGGAAGTGTGGATCATCAGGAGTCTACAAGTAGCCTAATGTAATTAAAGTACTAGGAAATGAACGTGGGAAAGAAGAATGAAGCTGTATTATGAAAGGCCTTCTCTGCTGAAGTAAAGATGTTAGGGTCTATTGCGTTCTGAACTAGAGCTCCCGAATGTCCTTGTGCCAAGGTCAACACTGGCTTCAGGGCCGGCACAGATGACTCTGCAGACCAGTCCAAGAAATGAAACTTGAGGGAAGGAGCCACTAGAAGATTCTGATAAGATCCAAATAAACACAGTCCAAGCCAAAGAGTCTGTCCTGCAAGGTCACAGCTGTCTTTTGGAATAAATAAATAAGCCACCCTCCTTTACCCTACAACACTTGTAGCCCATTAGTCTGAGCGTCAGATGAAAACTTGACTCAGAGCTCACTATGATTTCCAATTTCCTTCCTAACCTGTAAGAAGTTGATTAAATTAAGCACTATTGACACCCAGGCTCTTAAAATAGAAACTCATTTAGTGGGATCAGCAGTCAGAATAGTGTCACCTCTGGTTCTCCTTTCTACCATCTTTCCTTGCTTCTGGACATAGGACATTTTTCATGAATGGAGCTCAGTTGATTTGTTGGTCTCCCTGGTGAACCCGACTCTTCATCCTATCAATAACTTCTTGCTGCAGGAAAATCTCAGAACCAGACTTAACGCCTTAATTTAATATTGATGGCTTGACTTAAATTCTGGATAATAAACTCAAATGGGCACTTGACAATGGCCAGGCTTCCTGCTGTGCTTTTGTGTAAATGCACTTGCCTATTCTTCAAGATAATTATTTCATACAATCTCCTCTCTCCTTCAACTTCTCAGGTCTCCTCTCTTCTTCTCAGCTAATGACCTCATCACAATAAGAAAGAGAAAACCCTTCAATTCCACTTGTGGATATCTATCCAAATGGAATGAATGCCATGTGTCAACAAGACACCTGCACTCCCATCTCCATTGCAGCATTATTCCAAACAGCCAAGACCTGGAGTCTACCTAAGTGTCCATCAATGGTTGGACATATAAACACAATTAAATACTCCTCAGCCTTGAAAAATAAGAAAATTCTGTCATTTGGAACAACATGAACGAGTCTGGGAGAATTACATTAAGTGAAATAAGCCATGTATATAACACAAATGCCACATGATCTCACTGATAAGTGGAGTGGAAAAAAAGTGGAACTCACAGAAGTAAACAGTAGAATGATGGTTATCATGGATGTTATCATGGATATGGTGGGGGTTGGGGAGATGTTGATGAGAAGTTGCAAAATCTCAGTGAGGAGAGGTAAGTTCAAAAAATCTTTTGTAGATCACCAAGAGTAGGATTAAATGTAATGTAATATATTTTTGAAACTTTCTAAAAGAATAGATTTTAAGTGGTCTCACCACAAAATAAGTGTGTGATATCATTCGTATGTTAATAAACATTATTTATTGCATTCTGCCATATGTACACATCCTAAAACATCATGTCAAACATGATAAATGTTTTATTTGTTGACTAAATATTTTTGAAAAAAAGAAAATAGGAGCCCTCAGAGCAGAAAAACCGAGCTTCCTACCGACCTCCCTACCAGTCCACTCACACTTGTGCCCACAGAAGTCCAGTTTATGCACCTGTGCTTTGCATTCTATGTTTTGTCACCCTCTCAGGGACTTTATCCCTTCCATGATCCTCTTTCTCTTCTGTACCGTGGATTTCTTCTTTTCCACTATGTTAGTCCATCAGTGCACAAAAGTGCTCCAGTGTCTCCCATTCTTAAGAAAAATGTCTTAAGTCTCACAGTTTCATCTTCCCCTCTAAATATTGTGATGTCTGTGCTGGCTTTTATAATGAGATTTCTGGAACTGGTTGTCTAAATCCAGACTTTCTACTTCCTCACCTCCTATTTCCTCTTTGAGACATCCCGACTTGACATCTTTCTCTAGTACCTCCCTGAAAACAAATCTTAGACCTATTCTGCACTTGTATGAGATGTGGCTGCTGGGATTTAGAGAAAAACAACCATATTGACTGATTTCATGTTAATTTTGTGATCACTATTAGTGGCTCCTTAATGCTACCTAGAAATTATGCTCCATTTCTGTCATTTACCCACCCTCCCAGTCTCCTATTTTATACTATTTCTTCTATTCTTGTACCTCCAGCACCATTCCATTTATACTCTAGCTTGTGACCTTCCTACTTAACTTTCTAGATTTACAGGAGACTGAAACAGTCTATAGAGACATTCACAAGTGCACCTAGCTGAATTCACCCATAACTTGAGTCTGTCTCCACACTTCTATCCTGTTAACTCAGTTGTCTGTGGCCCTGGCTAAGGTCAACCTCCTTATTTGTGCGCTAAATTCCATCTTCTCTTGCCAGCTCACTGAAATTGTCCCAGCAGTTCTTTCCTCTCATCTCTAACCATCAATGTTTCTCTCTCTTCTAGATTGTCTCCAGAAGCTTACAAATATTTATTACTGCTATTAAAAATAGGAGCAAGTATTAGGTGCAGCGATTAAGATGCCACCTGCATCCCATACCACAGTGCCTGAGGTGGATTCCTGGCTGCACTCCTAATTACAGCTTCCTGTTAATGCATATCCTGGGAGATAGCAGATGATGGCCTAAGTACTTGAGTTCTTGCTGCTCCCTCAGGAGATCCAGATTGAGTTCTCAGTTTCTCACTTTAACCTGGTTCTGCACTAGCTGTTGTGGGCATTTGGGTTGTGAATCAGAGGATGTGAGATTTCGCTCTGTCTGCTTTTCAAATAAATAAAGTGGAACTCTTTTTTTTTTTTTTTTTGACAGGCAGAGTGGACAGTGAGAGAGGGAGACAGAGAGAAAGGTCTTCCTTTTGCTGTTGGTTCACCCTCCAATGGCCGCCGCGGCCGGCGCACTGCGCTGATCCGATGGCAGGAGCCAGGTGCTTCTCCTGGTCTCCCATGGGGTGCAGGGCCCAAGCACTTGGGCCATCCTCCACTGCACTCCCTGGCCACAGCAGAGGGCTGGCCTGGAAGAGGGGCAACCAGGACAGAATCCGGTGCCCCGACCGGGACTAGAACCCGGTGTGCAGGCGCCGCAAGGCAGAGGATTAGCCTAGTGAGCCGCGGCGCCGGCCTAAAGTGGAACTCTTAAAAGGAAATGCAAAGACAAGTCTTTCTGACCTTGGATTTGACATAAGTTTTTTTAAAAAACGCCAGAGCACGGCAGGCAGCAAGCCTTCTCTGGCCTCACTCCTCCCGTCACCGGTCCATTTATTTCCTTCCCTTTACGCTGCATTTTTTTTAAAAGAAGACTAGTCTGCGCTCAGTGTCTCTAGCTTTGCTCTTCCCATTCCCTCTTGAATCTACTCCGCACAAGCTTTCCCCCTTCATTCCAAGAACTCTGTTCTCAATGAAGTCAATGGATGGCCTCCAAGTTGTGAAATACCAACAATGTCCCTGCCTGGCCTTACCTGAGCACTTGATCAAACTCTGCTTGCAAGCTTCATGTGGCAACCATGTCCTCCCTCTTGCCTAATTTCCTGCCTCCCTCTCTGAAGGCTCCCGTCAGGCTCCTTTTCTGATTCCTTTTCAGACATCCAGAGACTGCAGAGATCTTGAGAGATGCAGAGATCTTAGCATGTGACCCTCGTCCCTTCTTCCACCCTTGGCCTGCTGGTGGTGTCATCCATCTCGTAGCTTCCAGTTCCACAGTATGTGCTCGGATTTCTTCCAATTTCCTATCTCACTGTGCTCCTCTTCCCTAAACTCCAGGTGGATTTACACGTCCAAATGCCTCTCCAAATGTTCCGAATGGATATGTGATGAGCATCTTAGACCTAATTAAGTTCCAGAGTGCGCTGTTGATTTTCTCCCCCACAACTTGCTTCTACTGCAGTTTCTTCATCTCAGTAAACACCGACTCCATTCTTCAGGATTCGAAGACGAAAGCCCTTGAAATCATCCTTGTCTTGCTTCTTGTGGGGAGCAACCCGGACTGGACTAAGTTACTGGAATTAAGACTTATTCTATGCATCTGCTCTCCCACAATATGGCGCTGGGAGAGAAGAAAACAGCTTTTACGCAGCTGCCTCTTGCCAACTTGAGTGCTGACCTCCAGGAGCTGATCCTGCTCCTGATTGGAGGAGAGCAGCGTACTCGGCGTGTGGGCAGCCGAGTTGGGATTGGTGGAGGAGGACTATAAAGGAGGAGAGAGACGGCATGCACCAGGAACATCTAAGGGGAACATCTAAGGGGAACATCTAGCTGAAGGAACACCTGTGCAGCCCCCAGAGAGCCGGCCGGCGGTGTGCCGCTCCCCTGCGGAAGTGGGGAAAGTGGCCAGGGGGAACCGCCCTTCCACGGAGGTGGAAGGGATAGTAGCCAACCCGGGAAGAACCAGCAGCAAACCCGGGGAGGGCCGAGCAGACGAAAGAACAGCGCAGGGTCCTGTGTCGTTCCTCCACGAAGAGGGGGAGCGACATAATGGTGCCGTGACTCGGATATGAAGCCTAGGCAGGGTTTAGTGTCGTTCCTCCACGAAGAGGGGGAGCGACACTTCTATCTCAGCAAATCCTGCTGGCCCCACCTTCGAAATATTTCCTGAAACCATTCTTAACTCTCTGACCAAGGCATACATAACCACTAATTGCCTAGATTGTCGTAATACCTTCCTGACCCGTCTCCACTTCTGTTCTTGCCTCCCTGTAGACTAATGTTAGCAGAGACGCCGGAGTGATCCACTTAAAACATCAAGTCAGAGTGTGCAAATCTTCTCCCCAAGGTCTTTTCAACCTGCACAGAATAAAAGCCAAAATTCACACTATTTCTACCAGGCCCTACCTGTTCTGACCCCATCCCCATCTGTCCACTCCAGATACTTCCGGTCTCTCCAACAAGTCTGACCCCCTTGCCAGTCTCTCAGGTGCCAGCCACGTACTTGCCTGAGGGCCTTTCAATGATCCCGCCCCCTGCCTGCCTGGAAAGCTTTTGCCCGGGCATCTCCTTAGCCCGTCCCTCACTGGAGGGTTTTCCTGAATGTCACCTTTCTGTTGAGGACTTCTCTGAGCAGCCCGTCTGAAATTACTCCCCACGCACTCTCTCCTCTCCCGGCCGCTTCATTCATCTCAGCGCTGAGAGCTATCTTACGAGTCATACAGTTTATTTATTTATCTTATAATTGTCCTCTCCCACGGGGAAGGAAGCTCCGCAGGACAGGGTGTTTTCACTGCTCATTCACCACTGTATCTTCAGGGCTTAGAACAACGCCCGGCACCCAGTAGATAGCTATATCTGCTTGGGGAAAGCATGAACTCTGCTAAAAACTGGCAGTAAGATAAGGTTGGATAAGTCTAAAAAACTTTAGCTGCGTGGGTACAGTGCTGAACGGGCAGAGAACTGAACTTCACTGTAGCCCAGCAATCACTTTGTTCTCCCAGCTCTCCACTCACCAACTGTGAGATGTTGGAAAAATTAACATTTTTGTGTCTCAATTTCTCCAACTACAAATAGGGAATCATAAAGTTTCTACCCTATGTTATTAGTACAAAAGGCTAATACACATGAAATACTCAGAACTATGCCTGGGACAATAGATAGTGCACAAGAAATGCTACAAGTTCTTACTCGCATTGTATTATACTAATTATTATGATTATTTATGCACTATACTCTCTGCTTTGATGATTCCCCATCCCACATTTCTCCCTATATCATGGGCTACTCTTTCCCTTCATTTTGCTAATTCCATTATCAGATCATGAGCATTAAAGAGCTCATAGAGAATATTCCAGAGCTCAGAGTTAGACTTTCATTTAACACATCTCTCCCTAGATGGTTTCATCCAATCCCCCAATGTTTAACAGCACTTATGTTGGCAACCTTCAAATTAGTATCTCCCTCATTTATGATGATGACTTTCAAATCTATATCTTCAGTCCAGCATCTTTCCTCTAACTTTAGATCAGGTTTCCTACTGCTTTGTTGGTCTCACCACTTGAGTGTCTCATACGTGTGTATTTAAATTAACATGTCTGTGATATTTTTAAGAAATTAAAACAAATTCTTCCATCCTCTCTTTCCGTGAGACCTGTACTTAGCAACTTGCATTTGAAGGCTAGAATGTGATGCAAGTGATGTGACATTCAGACAGGGTGGGAATGGCTTCTGCACTCTGAGGGACCATCTGCCACATGCAAAAGAAACTCAGCACAATTCAGTGTCTATATATCAGCTCTGGCTGCAGCCAGTGAGGAACTGTGGCCGTGAGAGTGACAGTGGATCCATCTTCTTGCCCCACTCAAGTCTTCAGATGCCTGCAGTCTCAGTTGACATCTTGATGACGATTTTTTTTTTTTTTTTGACAGGCGGAGTTAGACAGTGAGAGAGAGACAGAGAGAAAGGTCTTCCTTCCTTCCCCCCAAATGGCCACCACGGCCGGCACGCCATGGGGTCAGTGCTGTGGCATAGCGGGTAAAGCTGCCGCATGTAGTGCCGGCGCCCCAAATGGGCGCTGGTTCGAGTTCCAGCTGCTTCACTTCCGATTCAGTTCTCTGCTATGGCCTGGGAAAGCAGTAGAAGATGGCCCAAGTCCTTGGGCCCCTGCACCTATGTGGGGAGACCTAGAGGAAGCTCCTGGCTCCTGGCTTCGGATCAGCTCAGCTCTGGCTATTGTGGCCAATTGAAGGGTGAACCATCAGATGGAAGACCTCTCTTTCTCTCTGCCTCTCCTTCTCTCTCTGTGTAACTCTGGCTTTCAAATAAATAAATAAATCTTTAAAAATAAATAAAGGGATTAAAATATAAATTGATTTTAGTGTAAAAATCCATTCATAGTTTTTTCTCCATGAACTTTAAAAAGTACTCTCATATAATCCATGTTTGCTATTTCTGGCTGCTATGTTTTATAGTCATTTGTAATTTATTAACATTTCCAAGTATGATTGGAGATTTGTGTATTTCTTTCAGAAGTTCTGGGATTTTTTTTTTTTTTTTTGCTTTATGTATTTCAAAGGGTTCACTTCATGTATTTTCTCCTAACAGGTTCTCAAACTCAATGCCATGTTGTATCCTGCCTCAGGGCTTTTTGCTCTTGCCAGTCACGGACCAGACTTCTCCACTTCTGGCTCTTTATGTCGCTGAACTATTTTTCTCCATCAGAGGTAGTTCAGTTGTCATCTTCCCAGACAGGGCTTCGCTGCACATTGTATCTAAAATGAGCACCTGCTCCTCTCAACCCCACCATCCATTACTCTGCCTGCTTTCTTCGTGGCAGCAATCACAATCTGTAACTGTGTTATTATTAATCTGTTTTCTTAATTGTTGTCTCGTCCTCTGACTCCTCAATTACAATGTAAGCTGTGTAACAGCAGGGGAGCCGAGTATTTTTGTTTTATTTTATTTGAGAGGGAGAGAGTTTCCCTCTGTTGATTCACTCCCCAGATATCCACAATGGCTAGGTCTGGGCTGAAGCCAGGGCGGGAACACAATCCAGGTCTCAAGTAGGCAGCAGGAACCCGGTCACTTGGGCCATCCCTGCTGCCTCCCAGGGTCTGCATTAGCAAGAAGCTGGAGGCAGGAGATGGAACCTGGTATTGAACTCAATTACTCCAATGTGGGATGCAGGTGTTTTTTGTTTTTAATAGTATATTTATTTATTTGAGAGGTAGAGTTACAGACAGTGAGAGGGAGAGACAGAGAGAAAGGTCTTCCTCTGTTGGTCACTCCCCAAATGGCCTCAAGGGCCAGAGCTGCGCCGATCCGAAGCCAGGAGCCAGGAGCTTCTTCCAGGTCTCCCATGTGGGTGCAGGGGCCTAAGGACTTGGGCCATCCTCCACTCTCTTCCCAGGCCACAGCAGAGAGCTGGATTGGAAGAGGGGCAACCGGGACTAGAACCCATGCCCATACGGGATGCCAGCACCACAGGCGGAGGATTAACCTATTGCACCACGGCGCCAGCCCTGGGATGCAGGTGTTTTAATCTCTCACTAAATTCCTGCTTATTTTACCCCCCCCCCCATCTCCAGAGCCTGGTTAAGTAACTGTCACTTAAAGTAAGTTACACATAGCTTCCTGGGTGAAAGCATGACACAGAACAAAGTGGATCAAATAAATTCTCTCTTCTTGGACCAAGTCCTCAAGATTCTCAGTTGTTTCACTGAAATATAGCAAAGAGCAGAGTTGACTTCTGGCAGTTGCCCTGGCTCTGCCTGGATGGTTTAGCCTTACAGTCTTTGCTTCCTGACATATTTATATAGTATTTATTTGTTTTAAAATAAGATTTATTTTTTTGAAAGGCAGAATGACAGAGAGAGAGGAAGAGAGAGAGGAAGATCTTCTGCTTGCTGGTTCACTTCACAAATGGCTGCAATGGCCAGGGTTGGGCCAGACTAAAGGCATGAGTCTGAAACTCCAGCCTGGTCTCCCACATGGTGGCAGGCACCCGAATGCTTGAGCCCTATTCTGCTGCTTTCCCAAGTACATTAGTAGGGACTGGAAGCAAAGTAGCCAAGACTCAAAGGGACAATCTGACATGGCACGCCCTGCAAGCAATGGCTTGACCTGTTGTTCAACAATGCCAGATCCAGTATATGAAGGAGTTTCGTGGTAATCTTCTTAGTTTAGTGTGTATGTCTGTGTGTTTCTTGAAGGTGATAATACATCTTCATTCAATGATAGGTGCCCAGCAGGGTAATTGGCGTAGCTGTAATTTCAACTCAATGGGATATAGGGAGCAATGAGTCCACAGTCAGAGGCAAATGCACTAATTTTGTATAATCAGATCTTATTGAGCAATTTCAGACTATATCACTTACAAAGTTAAGATTCAGGGGCAAGGCCGGCGCTGCATCTCACTAGGCTAATCCTCTGCCTGCGGCACCGGCACCCTGGGTTCTAGTCCCAGTCGCAGCGCTGGATTCTGTCCCGGTTGCTCCTCTTCCAGTCCAGCTCTCTGCTGTAGCCCGAGAAGGCAGTGGAGGATGGCCCAAGTACTTGGGCCCTGCACCCGCATGGGAGACCAGGAGAAGCACCTGGCTCCTGGCTTTGGATCAGCATGGTGCACTGGCCGCAGTGGCCATTGGGGGGTGAACCAATGGTAAAGGAAGACCTTTCTCTCTCTCTCTCTCTCTCACTGTCCACTCTGCCTGTCAAAAAACAAACAAACAAACAAAAAAAAGATTCAGGGGCTGGCATTGTGGCACAATGGGTTAAGCTGCTGCCTGTGATGCTAGCATCCCATGTGAGTGCTAGTTTGAGTCTCAGCTGCTCTGCTCCCAATCTAGCTCTCTGCTAATGGGGCTAGGAAAGCAGCAGAAGACGGCTCATAGGTTCTTATGCACCTGCATCCCTGCGGGAGACATGGATGGACTTCCAGGCTCTTGGCTTCAGTTTGGCCTAGGCTGGGTCATTGTGACCATTTGGGTAGTGAACCAGCAGATGGAAGATCTCCCTCTATCTCTTTCCCTCTCTGTAACTCTGTCTTTTAAATAAATAGATAAATCTTTTTTTAAAAAAGCCAAATTTCAAACATGTGATTTAATTTCCTAGTCCCTTCTGCATATACAGATAGGTAACCTGGAAAGAAAGGACCAGAAGAGATTGACTTTCCTGTGGTATCAGTGTGGCAGCTTCACCCCAGATTCCAGGTCATCTCAACAGGAAATTTGGCAATTCATTGGTTCAGACGTAGATCAATGATGCTGGGAACATGTGGGGACAGGGGGAGGGAAAAGAGGCCCTAACTTTTATATATTTTATCTTTTTTCTAAAATGCTGATCAATTATCTGTTGCTAAACTATATTTATCTATGGAAAAATAAATAGAAATTGATCCTGAATCCAACTTTGCTATGCATGAGTCTTTTGACAAACATAATAAAACAATTTATTTATAATTAAAGAGGTAGATAAAAATTGAAAAATAGAACCCTACTAACCAACTTTCCTTGGGGAGTATTTCTTCCTATATAAATTTGCTTTGTTATAGTTGTCTGCTTGGAGGAAGACGTTTTCAGCTTCCTGTCTCTACTATAGAAAAGGATGTTCCACAGCCTCTGACCTTCCCCAGGACATAACTCCACCCAGATCTCCAAGGAAAGGCCTTTGTCTGAGGTCCCAGGCCTTCCCCTCTACGATTTCCCTCTTGACCTTGAGACGACTCCTTCCTTTCCCTCCGGCCCTCTGCCCGCTCTTGCTTCCTTCCCCAGTGTCTCCTCCCCAGGCAGATTCTGTGTCCTGAAGCATCACTGACTGACCATACTCACTGCGTCACTTCTAGAGAGTTTACATTTATCAGAGGATAAATCCCCTTTGTGGTTAGAGTCAAACAAAATTTGGCGTGGAATTTTGTCCACCAGTCCTTGCATGGACCAGTGCTTCCCCAGTTGTGAGGGAAGTCTTTTGGAAAATGGGGCACACAGGGAGTCTGTTGGCTTTGGAGCAAGCAGCCCTGATCTTCAATGCTACCAGTTACCCTCTCTGTGAGTCTGTGTGGGACACTGAATTTCACCGAACTCAGCTCAACTGGGAATTATAAGGTCTCTTCCATGGGGTTGCAGAAAGCATTAGGTCAGATGAAAAATGAGGACCTTCTAGCACACAGATTTGGTATACATATGAGTCTCTCTCCCTGGCTTTTTTTTTCATGCCATGAGATATGGATTCATGGAATTTCTTAGAACCCATGCCAAGCCTTCCCTGAATAGTAATGCAACAGGAAGGAAATGGTGTGAAGTTAGAGTGACCTTTGTGGTAGGGAAGTGGCCGGGTGAAGTCGTGGAGCTAAGGTTGCTGAAGGACTTATTTTGAGAGGTGAGGGTGATCCTGGGACACCTGTGAAGCCTTAGGACCTTCCTCAGCTCTATAAAAGACAGACTGGAGAAGTCCCCAAAGGAAGCTGTCACAGGGGGAGTAAACAGAAAAGGGCATACCATTGTTGCTGGGATTTGATTGCTTTGCAACTTAATTATGCAGTGTTGAATTCTAGGATGCTTCAATACATCTTTCAGTGTTTGTCCCTCAATTACAATTTCCATAGTATCATAATTGTTAATTTCTGGACTTTTTTCATCTTGGCACAGTGCTTAGCATACAGATTTTCAATGATTGTTCTAGATGGGAACCCTGGGCATTGGGAGAACTGTGGGGATTCTCTTCATCAATTTCTCTTCACTCCTTCTTTACACATTTTCTCTACTTAGTCCACTCCCTTGGCAGTAGCACCCAAGATTTTTTTTTTTAAAGATTAATTGATTAAATAAAGAAGTGTTATTTAAAGATTTACTTGAAAGGCAGAATGACAGCAAGAGAGAGGAGAGGGACAGATGGGAGAGAAACAGAGAGATAGAGATTTTCCATCTATTGGTCCATTTCCCAAATGGCTGCAGTGGCTGGGGCTAGGCCAGACTGAAGCTCAAAACCTGGAGCTCTGTCAAGGTCTCCCACATGGGTGGCAGGAGACCAAGCACTTGGGTCCTCTTCTGCTGCTTTCCAAGACACATTAGCAGGGAGCTAATTAGAAGTGCAGCTGCATTTAAAGTGGAGCAGCTGGGACTGAAACCTGCACTCTGATAGGGGATGCTGGCATTGGAAGCAGCAACTTAACCTGCTGCGCCAAATGCTGGCCCCAACATCCAAGTTTTATAATATGTAGTTCTTACTGCTAGAGAAGAACAGTTCTTAGCATAACTTAGGGACAGATTCTGATTGCTTTTGGTGATTTCTGGAATGGGTGAGGCAGGGAGGAGTACTTTGTAGAAGAGCACAAGAAGAGCTGGGTTGCCTAAGTAATTGAAACCCAATCTGCACATTCAGATTCCAAGGAGATTTATTATTTTCAGAAGGCCTGGGCTTCCCTCTGCTTTGGAAGATTATTAATAGGGTGACCAGATGTCCTCGTTTGTCTGGAAAGTCCCCTTTTACACCTGTTGTCCTTGTACGATTATTAATAGCACCCTTTTCACTTTCAAAAGTGCCCTGCCTTGGAAGATAAATTATATGATCATTGTATTTAATGGTGTTGTGTCTCTGAACTGGCTAAAGTCCTGGAGACAGGGCTGTATAATGTGGTGAAAATGACACAATGTGACCTCCATGAGGGTTGGTTTTTTCTCCTGGGGCACCTGGGTACCCAGCATGTAATAGAAACTCAGTGAATGTTGAATCAAGGACTGAATGTATAAAGGGCTTTTCTGTCTCTAAGTGTCCTATAAAGTTATATTGGGCACATTTTCCCGCTTTTGAATAATAATGTAGTGTATAGTAGACTGATAGTAGCACCGAATGTCAGGGCTAACCAGAAATGTTCAAGACTCTTTTGCCCAATACCCTTCCGAACAGAGGGTAAACCTGTGAGTCTGTCTCATTCAGTGAATGCCAGTAGCCAAGGAGAGGCAAGTAGTAGGCATTCAGTAAGCATCCGAGTCCCTGTTTTCAGTGCTTGCTTTTCTTCAACTACACTTCTGTCATGAGGACACTGACAGTACTTGGACACTGCAAACACGGGGGGCGCCCTCTGTTTGATGATGTTGCCTTCCACCTTGGCACTGGAGAGCCCTTCCTCACAGTGGACATCTGACTCCCTGCTGGTTTCATCTGTGCCTTTGGTTCTGTGCTCTGCAGCCCAACTCTTCTTCCCCAGCACAAGCATTCGTCTTCTACAACCACAGTTTCCTTTTCACCTCCGATAAGATTGCCAGATCCTCTGCTGTCCTGATCACTTCTGGAAGCGTTCAGTTTGTTGAAAGACCCATAATGTAGAGTTCAGAGATGGGTTTTGGCAGTGATAAAGAAAAGTGGGGGACGGCATTTGGCTTAGCAGTTAAGACACCTATAAGATGCCTGCTTCTGACTTTGGAGTGCCTGGGTTTGATTACCAGCTCCAGCTCCTGCTAATGTGTACCCTGGGAGGTGGAGGTGATGGCTCAAGTGATTGAGTCCCTGCCACCCACATTGGAGAGAGGGATTGTATTCTGGTTTCTGGCTCCTTTGGGCATTTGGGGACTAAGCCAGCAGATGGGGGCTTATTCTCTCTCTCTCTCTCTCAAATAAATAAATAAAATTAAAAAAAATTTTTTTTAAAAAGAGCGACAATCTCACGTACAATCTTCCAGAAAATTGTGTTTCTGGTAATGCTAAACTAAGATTGCTCAGACTTTTTAAAGCCATGTCATACTACTGACTCATATGTAGTTCCTCATTAATTATTTCTAATTAGGTGCAGGCTAAGTGTGTAAAGTCTGCATAACAAGAGAAACATATTTCTGCTAAGCCAGGTCTCCTCTATCTATCTCTGCTTACACAATGGGTTGATTGAATTGTGTTAGTCTGTATTTATCTCTGTTGCATATTACTGTGTTAGAGACAACATTCCTTACAGGACTTAAATGTTTTACATCCTAACTTTAACATCCAGCCTCTTCTTTGACTGTTCCCTCTTGTTATTCTCATAGTCGGGGGTATAGAACACTTGAAAGGAAGTGGCAGTCACTAGATATGAACCAAGGTTCCTTAGAGAACAGTTTTGCAAATCTGGTAGCCTGGTAGGTCACGGAAAGTTACAGGGATGCACATCCCATCAAAAAGAAAGTTTGACAAAAATTAAGGCTGTTCCACCATGAATGAGTTCCATTCTAAGATATTTCCTGATCCCTCGTAAATGTAGACAGACAGGATAACCATCTGTCGGGATATTTGACTGGGAATTCCTGTGCTGGGTGGGACTGTAGACTAGCTTATCTCTGGAAATATTTCCAGCTCACAGATTCTTTGTATGGTACACATTTACTATTTATAGCCTGCATTGGATTTCTTTTTAATCCCATAGCTGAAAGGACATTACGTTTTCCTTCATTAAGGATAGAACAGCTTAAAAAAATGAAATAGTTACAATAAAATTACCTATTCTATGATATCTGGGGGATCTAATTTTGGAAAGTTTAAATTACCCCAATGTTTCATTTAAACTGGAGAGTAGGTTTTATATTAAGAGAAAGTAAAGGTTGAATGGTTATTTATTTTTGAAGACAAAAATTACAATTAATGATAGAACACACAAACTATTTTACTTCTTATAGGATTTATTCATCTATTTCTATTTCCATCCAAAAGTTCACCGATTCATCCATCTTAGTATACTTCCCAAATAGCTTAGATAGTTATCACCCCAAACCAAAATGGCATCCCACAGGCTAAGAAATTGCTTTAAGGCCAGAAGGAAAGGGGAAACTACAGTACCAAGGCTTGCAAAGGAAAGTATGACATTTTACGCTGTTATTTATTCTGTGCACCAATGCAGAATTCAGAACTTTTCCAGATGAAGATATGTTTGATTAAATATAACTTCTGAATCCCTTGGTGGACTGTTAGGGTGTTCCAGCTGTCTCTGAGACACAGTAGCAGATTCCTATATCATCACTTAGAGAAAGGCATTCAAGAAATTTCAGACAGGTGATAAATGAAGCAAGAGTAATATTTGAATTGAGGGAAAGCATAAATAGTTCTTTGCAAACATTATCGCTGGGGGCAATGTAGAAAAAACATTTAGAGATTTACATATATATCTAAATATATTTTTAAATGAAGTATGTAGCGTTCCTGTGTAGAGACTGCTAATTAGATAAACTTGAAAGATGATGGCGCACAGTTTAATTTGGATTAAATAACCCCTCTAGCTGTAAGTTTGTTTTTTAATTGTGGAATCCCACTTGACCCAACTAATTGTAAGCTTCTCTAATCCAGCTCTGAATTCTAATTTGTGCTGCTTCCACTTTCCCCAATGCAGACTTGCTCGTTTGCTTCATCTTGACATTGAGAACTGGCCCCTTGGACCACTTCCGCTCTGCAGGCGCTTGTCATGACAGACACAAAGGCCACTTCGCTGGGCAGTACACAGAATAAGAATCTCAGCAGAGCTCTAGGGCAAAACGTTTTATACACACCACGGTGGCTGAAGATTTAAAACCATTCCGTTGGTCTTAGGAAATGTTTTCTTTTCACAGAAGATCACAAAAATTCAAGGGTGTATCACAGAATAATCTGGACATTTTTCTCCTTCTGTTGACATTTTACTCACTGAGACCACAGCTAAACAGTAGCCTGATACCCTCAAAAGAGGAATTTCTTTTCCTGTCCAGCAGCCAACATGACAGTAGCTGGTGGAGCAGTATTTCTTAGTGATAGTCTGTATTTGATTTGCTTATGAGGTTTGCAGGTTCTGGTTGGAATTAAGGGACAATGGATTGAAGACATTTAATACATTAGCAGCCATGAAAACCAGTAACCATGAGTGATTGTTTCTCTTCTGTGTCCTAACACTCAAGAGTATATCAGTGTGTCATTACTGGAACTGTGGGATGTTCTGCCATACAATGGCATCTTCAACTATAGGCACTCCTTCTGTCTCTGGGGTTCATTTTTAGCACAAAATAAAGGTGTTTAGCAGTGTTTCTGTGGGGCTTGGTTGCAGTATTTTGTAAATTGATTTTTAATCCCAAACACACTTTGGCTGAATCAGGGAGGTGAGGGACTTGATAATTCACTGGAGAAAGGCTAAATGGAGTGCCAAGATTGAGTGTGAGTGTATACGCAGTCTTTGCTCTGGGAAGTAGCAACAGGGATGACTTAACTTTGGCAGTGTCTTCAGTTTAGAGTGTGACTAATTTAGAAGTGATAGGCTGCAGGGTTTCAATCATTTTTGGTTTCTTAATGGAAGCCTTTCTTGTACACAAAGGACTACAGTTTGTAGCTATAAGCATTGAAAGGGCATGCACCATGACTGTGTAATTTATTATAAAGTATAAGGCCTTTATACCTAGTTTAGAATCAGCGAACTAGTGAAAAAGACAATTTTGGTCTTTTAATTGTTCTTCTTTAGCTAAAATTTCTGGAGAGTTCTTCAATGGGACATTTGCTTTTCTGCAGATGCTAATTTGTCCTTGCACTGACTGAAAGGCAACCTGATGTAGCCCCCACATGCGTGTACAAGACCTATCTGCTTTTGTGAGATTCAGCTACTCATGCTGTCCCAAATGGAGTCTCAATCTACCCCTGCTATTCCTGTCCCTTCTTCCTTGATCCTTCCTTCCCCAGTACCCTTTGGCCATGCCCCAAGCCCAGGAGTAGGAGTTCCCAGAGCAGTTGTTTGCACTTCCAGTGTAGCATACACAACATCACAGCAGGACTCCACTGGATTTGGGTCTTGCAGTTTACCAGCAAGTATTTCTGGGCACTCATCTCCAAAATATATGTCATTATTTTTAAACTGTGTAAACATGCTACCAAAGTAGTATATTGTATACATAGAAAAACATAGACAAATTAGAAATGATAAAATTAAATGTCCCATTAGAAAACCTGCTATTTTCTTCTGTGCCCCCAACAGATCATATTGCACACCTCTTGGGGGATTTGTATCCCACTTTGGAGATCACTGTTTTCAATGAGGATATTTCACAAGTTCGTGGAGGGGTGGACATTTGGCGTAGTGGTTAATATGCCACTTGGGATGCCCACATCTCATTTTGGAGTGCCTGAATTCGAGTGCTGGCTCGGCTCCTGTTTCAGTTACCTGCTAATGCACAGTATGGGAGGCAATGCTGATGGCTCCAGTAGCTGACTCTCTGCCATCCACGTGGGAGACCTGGATTGAGTTCCCGGCTCCCAGCCTTGGCCTGGCCTAGCCCTAACCGTTGCTAGAATTTGTGGAGTAAATCAATGCATGGGAGTTCTCTCTCTGGTTTTTTTTTTTTTTTTTTTTTTTTTTTTTTTTTTTTTTAAATCTTTCTCTGTCACTCTGCCTTTTAAATAAATAAAATCAAATTTAAAAATGTTGCTCACTGGGCACATCTCCATGTCTGATGACATACCTCAGATAACTTGGTTTTAAGCATGTATGTGTCTTCTCAGGTAGATGGCAAGCTCTTCTTCACTTGTTTACTTCTAATGTGATAATTTATCCTTGCGATGTTTACATAAAAGCCATTTTATAAATATTCATTGAGCAGATGACAAAGCCATCATTCCCACAGCCACCCTTTTGACTCAAAGTTGTCGTAAGTGTATTTGGCATTTTGTGTTCTCATAGACATTAGAAAAACTTAGGCTGGCACCGTGACTCACTAGGCTAATCCTCCTCCTGTGGCGCCGGCACACCAGGTTCTAGTCCCGGTCAGGGCACCAGATTCTGTCCCCGTTGCTCCTCTTCTAGTCCAGTTCTCTGCTATAGCCCGGGAGTGCAGTGGAGGATGGCCCAGGTCCTTGGGCCCTGCACCCGCATGGGACACCAGGAGAAGCACCTGGCTCCTGGCTTCGGATCAGCGCAGTGCACCGGCCACAGCAGCCATTGGAGGGTGAACCAACGGAAAAGGAAGACCTTTCTCTCTGTCTCTCTCTCTCTCTCTCTCACTGTCCACTCTGCCTGTCAAAAACAAACAAACAAACAAACAAACAAACAAAAAACTTATTGTTCCTCCAGAATTCCCCAACTGGCTCTCATGCAGACAGTTCTGTCATAAATTGAGGGAAAAAACTGGAAAATGCAGTGGAGAAAAAGTCTTTTAAGCACATGTGTAGAATCACAGTTCTGAGGTTACAGTGACTCTGGCCTTTCTGCTCTTTGAGACGCAATCATGCATATTTTACATCACGCTGACAAATCAAATCAGCACTTGGAGCCTGACCAAAGAATGAACGTACCTGGTTCAATTTAAAAGAATTGTTCCTGTTTTTCAACATCCTTATGTTCTGTTTAACATCTAACTTCTTACATCCTGAGAACCCCCTTGCTTCAGAGACTCATGTTTTCTTTGGGCAGTTTCTTGGATTTGAGCTGTCTACATCTGTGATCTATAGATTAGGAATTCGAGAGCTTTAGATATTGGCAGCCAAACAAAAGGGGGCAGAGTTCATATAAATAAGGCTTCAGTAGAGGCTTCAACAAAAATGATCACTGTCTGATTACACGAGCATGGTTAATGAGTTCTGGGATTAACTCGGCCATACTTTCGCAACTCTGGTCCATACCCATAGAGAGGAATAAGGAGAACATTTTCCAGCTTCATAAAAAATATTTCTAGTTGTCTACAGGCCAGAAATGATGATATTTTTACCTTTGTGCTAAAACCTTGTGTGGTTTCTATCAAAACCTTAATCACATTTCTTATTCTATATAGCTAGTGCTTAGTAAATGTTCATTACATAACACAAGAGTAGAAAATACAGTGTTTATTGGTGAGGGGGTGAGATTCATGTTCTACTAAACATCTCATTTCCCCCTCAGCATGTATCTTGGCAGAGCTTGTTAATCGATTCCATCTGTTTCTAAAAGCATTTAAAAATGTATTTTTCTATTTTACCCTCACGGTAACCCTAAAAAATTGGTGGGCAGATCTTATCCATCAGTAGATAGATGACAAAATGGGCCCAGCTAGGCTTGCAGATTTCTAGTTTTACCCTTGGAGAGTTCCCTAGAGCTGTGTGTATGTGTGTCCAGGCAGTACAAGAGGAGGGGAGAAATGAACATGATGAGCTGATGGCTTTTAAGTACACATGTATGAAGATATGTCAATGAGTTCATGGAAAATGCAAATAAAATGAGTTTATTTTCAATTGAAAGTTTTGGAAAGCTAGGCATAATCGCATAATCTTTATTGTATTTGCACAAACTTTTTTGAAGACCTCTTTTATCTTTTAATTTCATCTTCATGAGCTTTTAAAAGCTCCCTTAGATCAAAAGCAGGATTCTCGATGTTGACGCTGTTGGCTTTTGGGGACAGATAACTGTTGTGGGCATCTATCCTCTGCCATGTGGCATGTTTAGCATCCTTCCTGGTTGCTACCTACTAGATGCCACTGGCAGTTTCTCTTGCCCTAGTCATGGCATTAAAAAAAAGTCATCCTTAAACTTTTTTGTAACCTGTTATTTTTCACTTAGTAATATATTATGAGCATTCTTGTGTCCATCTCAATAAATTGACATCTGTAGCATCTTTTAGTTATTGTTTATTATTTATTATATGATGGTATGTCAAAATTTATTAACCATTCCTCTCTTACTGGTTTTTCATATTGCTTTATTACAGATAGGGCTGGGATGGGTTTTTTTCCTACAGTTCCCTTAATTACTTCCTTATAATATTTCTCAGGAATTCCTCGGTATTGTCCATTCCTGGGTCCTGTGTTTTGAAAGATAACAGTCTGCCAAGCTACATATGCTTTACTATTTAAAAAATTAATCAAAGGGACCAGCGCGGTGGCGCAGTAGGTTAATCCTCCACCTGCAGTGCCAGCATCCCATATGGGCGCCAGTTCTAGTCCTGGCTGCTCCTTTTCCAATCCAGCTCTCTGCTATGGCCTGGGAAAGCAGTAGAGGGCAGCCCAAGTGCTTCGGCCCCAGTACCCATGTGGGAGACCCGGAAGAATCCCCTGGCTTTGGATTGGCCCAGCTCCTGTCATTGCGGCCATTTGGGAAGGGAACCAGTGGATGAAAGACTTTTCTCTCTGTCTCTCCCTCTCACTGTCTGTAACTCTACCTCTCAAATAAATAAATAAAATCTTTTTTAAAAAAATCAGAGACTTAGATCACTGCTAATCCAAACTTGGGATCCATGTGAGTTACAAAAGGACATTTACTGAATGAGGATGGTATGACTCTGACCTAAAGCTAAGAGGCTTGATGAGAAAATTACCCTGCGTGGCATTATCTTAGGGGACCATGGACTTTCTGAGAGGTTTTCTGAAATACTCAATGACTCTCCACACATGCAGCTGTTCAGTGTTAGGGCTGCAGGGGACAAACACTTGAAGATGATGTTTTTGAATGAAAAAAAAAAAATAGAGAAATACAGGAAAGATTGTTTAAGTATGAGTGCATCAAATGTTTACTCCGGTTTCTATGGGCCATGGTAGATTTTGCATAGTTACTTTGTATTTGAGAACACCTGGGGTTAGGACTGAACTGCTGGAGAACAAGGTTTTAATTCGATGTGGGGAAAAACTGCAGACAGTCTGTGAACTAGACTGGCCAAACTCCAGGCGTTCTGAAGTCATCCCCAACAGTGTGTCGGTGGACACAACGTGCTGTGTCCGTTGCTGGTGAGTGGCAGCTGCAAGGCTGATCTTTGGGGAAGCTGAGAGCCTCTCTCATTTCCGAAAGTGAATTCACTTTGGCCACGGCTGCTTGTTGGTTACACTGCTTTGTTTAATGGTGAGCTGTCCAGAAGATCTCTTTGGACCCAAACAATAAGGGAGAAAAAAAAAAAAAAAAAACACTTCAGGGCTTACTTGGACATTCCACATTTACTTCATTTCTGACCTGCTTGCTGCCAGTCGGTTACACAATTTGGCTCCAGCCTGAGGTTTGGGTTACAGAATACGGAGGCTGGCCCCTGCTTGCATTGTGAATTCAGATTAGGCTTTGCAGAGGCTGTGCATATGCACGAAGGTGGGCGTGGAACAGTTCCCAGGACTGCTCCAGTTACCATATCAGCCCAGGTTTTTCAGAGCGGCCCCCCTGGATGATGGTAAGCTGGACCATGCTGTGGCAGGCGGAGTCAGGATTGAGTGTTCTTCCTGGCACTGTGGCTGAAGTCTTGCTGTTGTGGCATCTGACATCACGGCGTGCCGGTCATGCTGGGGGCACTTCCACTTTACACACAGAATACGGAGGCTAATTCGTGAACATTTGAAACCGCCTTGTAATCTTGCTGCTTCTTGGAGAGCAACATCCAGCACTGAGTGGGATGATTCCAAGCACTGCGTGTGGGCAGCATAGGGACCTGGCGAGCAGGCTTACAGTGTGGGCTCTGTGGTGGCCATCAGAGTGACACTTCATGTCGTAGGATTGTTGAGTGACAGTCACAAAAGTTGCCTCAAGTTGGAGAGGGCTTAGACGTTGCATCTAGATGTCATCCAGTGTTCTCTGGGGTCTCTTAGAGCAGTACCTCCCTAAAGCCATGAGCCTCTGGGCTCTGCTGTTGTCTAAATTCCAATAATGGGCATCTATAACCTGTGCTAAGATAAGACGTTTATTGCAAAAACAAATTAAAGATCAAAAGAACAGCAACAAAGCTTTCAAAACCACTAGTAGGAAACAGCACCCAAGTATGCAGTGAGATACTGAGACCCCAGAAACACAATACTTGACGCTGAAATTCAAAGACCTTAAGTCTAAGTCTGTAATTGGACGTAGAGCCCAGACTCCACCTGATTCTTGTCCATTACTCTTTTCAGCATGGTCCCCCCACTTCCTCCCTCCTGGTAACCCCTTCCTCCTCTCCATCCTTTGCCCTCCTCTGCTCTGTCCTCCCATTGGCTTCCTCCTCCTAATTGTTTTCTTATTGCTCCTCCTCTCCATTCTTCCCTCCTACTCTTCCTCCACTTCCTCTTCTTACCTCTCTCTCCCACTACTTCTTCATCTTCAATTTATTAATTTTAAAATTTACTTTTTATTGTTAATAATGACAGAAGCAAAGAGTTAATCTCGCCTATGATATTTCCATAAACTGAGATTTGGCCATTTGTCCTATCTTATAAAGTCAATTCATTTTCACTTTAGCCCAGACCTAACGGTATTTTGAACTCAAATTTTCCATATTAGCTTTCATATTGACTCATTTTAGGTAAGATGATTGATGGAATATTTTTTAATAATAAAATGTGACTCACTTTCAAGACCTGTTACTTGTACATAAGAACACACCTCCCTAGCTTTGTCAGAGTTGGCAG